TATCCTTTTAAAGGCGACCCTTTAAGGGCGGGGGAAATGTTACCGCCACTTCTCAAATTAAAATATTCCGCATTTTTGGTCAATCTTATTGACGAATCAGATTTCCTCTATAATACCATTCATTCATTCCATTCATTCCTTGTTGCGACCGACAACCGGGTAGAAGAAGAAGTCTAAGTAAAAACACGCCCGCACGCGGAAGCATATTGTGTCACACTCGCTACTCGCATATCTATTTAATTATCATACGCTAAAATCACGGCCGTGAATTGTATAAAATAAGTGTAAATCGCGCAAGAAAACTAGGAGTGTACCACGCGAGTGTCACCCTCAAGTACGAAGAGAAGCTAACGGCGTTCTCCAGGTGCGTACCTTCAGTTTTATGTGTTCGTTCCAAATTTCAACGAAATCCAATTCCAACTACCTATTACAGTCCACTTTATACCAGTTTTAAACCACACGTCACCAAGTACATTGTTAGAAAAAGGTTTTTCCCAAATCGTGGAAATGGTCGTAATTGTCACTTTAGGCATACAAATTGACAATCACTGCGTCTTATCATCTATCTATCTGTTTTATTAAGATTTGGTTTTAATAAGGGTTGAGAGTGAATCGACCGCGGTGTCGATTTTTTCGGGACTGTCTAAGTCCGACGATAGGGAGATGGGGGAGTCCTGTGAGTCCAGAGCTTTCGCTAGGGACTCCTTGAAGCCCTTCCAATTTGTGAAGGTTTTAGTAGAGGGCGTTGAGGGGGGTGGCTGATGGCCAAGAATGAGAGAGACCGGTCTGTGGTCGGATCCTAGATCGTCTAGTGTCTCGATTGCCCTGAGGTTGAGGGAAACACTTTTGAATAGTGCAAAATCTAGCACGTCGGGAGCGTAATCGGTGATATCGGGATAGTGAGTAGCACCGAGGGGACTGTGGACGGTAAGGTCAAGAGACTGCATGATATCGAGCAGTATCCTGCCGCTACGTGAAGTAGTACGGCATGTCCATTCAGTATGCTTGGAGTTAAAATCTCCAAACATAATGACTGAATTGCCTAGAGATAAAATAGCCTCAAAATCTTTTTTGAGGGGAAGGGTTTTAGAAGGGATGTAACAGGAGGCTATGAAGATGGACTGATGTCCAGTCATAGCTAGCCTGCATACCGTGGCTTCCATGTTGGAAAGTTGCGGAGTAGAAATGGGAGAACAGTGAAGTGTCTTCTTGTAATAAATGGCCGTAACGCCGCCTCGGCGGTCGGGTCTGTCATTACGAAGAAGAGAGAAGTTTTTGATGGAAAGGCCTTTAGTGTCCTTAGTATTGAAATTAGTTTCCTGTAGGAGGAGGAAATCTGTTTCACGATTTCGAAGAAAGAGCTTAAGCTCTGGGAGGTTATTTCGCAAACCGCGAATATTAAAGGATACAAGCGATAAACCCTTAGGTTTGATACGACCGTGAGACGTTGGTAGAGCAAACTGCTCTGTCATTGTGAGTTAAGTTAATTAAGTTAACTTAACTTAAAATGAGCACAAAAGATTATGATGCTCTGCAAGAGCGAGGAGACGGTCCTGAGGGGACCTCTCAGCGCGCAATTTGCGTGCTAACACAGCGATTTCCTAAACGTTGATGTTCCTAATAGCGGAATACACCGTTTTTAGGTCATCAGCCATTGAGGGTTGTGATTGTTGTGGGGCGGAGGATGTCCGCGGTGGGTCTGCCTTTTTGGGGCCCCAGGGAAAGACTGCAGGCTGCATAGGCTGAGAGAAGCCCGGAGGGGGCCGAATAGTGCCCTGAGGGTGCCTAGGGGGACCCTGAGAGGGCCGAGAGAAGCCCTGGGTGGGCTGAGAAAGGCCCTGACGGGGTATCCGTTGGTAAAGAGCCGGGAATGAGCGGTCATTGACCGGCGGTAGAGCTTGCCTACTGGGGCGAGGATGAGGTGCGCAAGGGCAGCCTCTGTAGTTAGCCGGGTGGCCTGTTTGTTTACACAGGACACACGCGGGTGGGGATTCGGCATCTTTGGGCCGAGGACACTCTTTAGTGTTGTGGGGTTCAAGGCACTTAACGCACCTGGGTGGGGCGGAGCAGTTGGCCGCCGCATGACCATATAGCTGGCAGCGGTGGCACTGCGCCGGGAACCCGCGCCTATGTGGAGGCTCAACCCTCACTCTCGACAGGCCGCACACTGTGCGTACCTGCCGGAAGATAGCTTTCGCCTCCGGCACGTTGGTTAAAATTACTAGGGCAAGAGAGAACCTCTGGCCCGTTCTACTGTGCATTTTGTGCACGGCTTCTACGGGGAAACCTTGGGACTTAAGGTCCTCAAGGATTTCCTCGTTGGAAAATTCGAAGGGGACGCCGCGGATGACGGCCCTGACTTTGCGCTCTTCCGGAAAAGCGTACGTATGATAAGATACTCGTTCGGCTGTGAATAGCCTGGTTAGACGCCGGAAGTCGTCGATTGATTGGGGGATGATCTTAATAGCCTCCCCGAGGTTGATGGCGTGGTCGTATTTTATGCCTGCGTTGTAGCAGGTTTTGGAGAGTTCTGTGAATTTAGCCTTGTCTCTTAGGAAGACAGGGGGCGGGACTTGCTTCTTGGCAAGGACTGGAGCACAGCGAGAGGCTGGCTTGGTCGGAGCGGGGATGTCTAGTGACATAAGTGAAGAGGCGGCAGCGGCAGCTGCGGAGGTTGAAGGAGCGGCACGGGCCGCTGAGACAGGGAGGGTGCGGTTTTTAGCGGCGCGTTTACCGTTGCGCTTGGAGTTCACCGTGGTGAACGAAGAATCCCCGGTTCCGTCGGAGTCACAGGACTCCGATGAGCCGGTGCCAGAATTGGTGGTGGGCCTCTTCCGGGAGGCCGTCGCAGAGGACTCGGAGCATGCGTACTCCATTTCTAATGGGGCGAAAGAGTTCTTTGTCTCTAGGTAGGCCGCAAGTACGGGCGGCGGTTGGAGTGCCTGACGGGCAGGGGGGTTAACATGGACGGCGATGGCGGCGAGGGCCGTCTCATCGAGGTTTAGGCCCAGACCAAGAGTTTGGTTTAGGGCGGCGACGAGGGACTTAATTTGGGTAACTGAGGACAGTAGTTTTACGAAACGTATTTGAAACGGAAGGGGCTAGTGGGTACTGTTCTGAAAAGAACAGAGACGTTTTGTACCTAAGCAGTAAGGGCAGGATCACCGTTCTCAAAAGAACGGGACGTTCTTAATTCAAGGAGTAAGTGCCACTGCTCTCGAAAGAGCAGGGCCTTGCTCTGAAAAGAGCAAGTAAGTCCCTAGAAACCGTATATACACGTACACGTTATACAAATAAATAACGAAAACAAAATTAGAAATAGTTAACAAAAGAATTAACAATAAAAAGAGTTAGCGTAAAAGGACTCACCAAAGCGTCGACGCTGTAACGCGAGCAGGACAGCGGAGGCGCGAGAGCGAGAGAGCACTACCGTACGGGGACGGATACGCGGACTACCGTCTTATATACGATCTTATATACGATCTGGCCGTTGCTGGCTAGCGGACCCTTGCCTCACCCCCGCGCCTTTCTTTATTAGTTAAATTTCTTAAAAACTAATGTACAGACTTAAATATATTACATTCTTACAATTACTTATTAAACTTATACTTATATAACAATTTTTCTATATAGTAAAGGTTAAAACGTTGTTATTCCGGCAATTTTGAGCTGAGGACCCTGCCCCCCGCCTCAGTACTATAAACATAAAACGTCGTGGCGCGGCGCGTGTAGCCTCATTCGCTCCGCGGCCGCGTCACGGTAACATGCCCTGTTTATTATTTATCGTGCCTAAAGGCTTAATACTTAACTAGGAGAGTCCTTAGAAGATCCTTTTAGAAATTTCCATGAAAGAACTTTCTAGAACTATCGACACCTAGTCAGTCGGGTCCGCTATGTACTCGAATATTCTAGATGTTTCTACAGTAGAAGGTTCTGGAAATTATCTGACGCCCTATATAAGGCCGGTACAGACCGCGACCCGGTCATTGTTGAGTTGGCGATACAAGGGAATGCTTCGAAGCGATACAACTGCAAACTAAAGTGATCAGTAGTACTTTACTAATTGTGTTTTGTTATTAGTGTGGTCTTAAGTTGGAATTAGTGTTCTGTAATTAAAGTGTCAACTTTGATAATTCACTCGGCAGTTTTTAATTTTCTCGAACCCCAAACTCGTAACAATTAGTGTCAGAAGTGGGATCACGGAACACCAGCGTAAAATAGCAGCTTAACACTGCTCTGTTTCATATGGTGAGTGTAGGGAACCGGAGACCCTTTTTACTGGAAAAGAGGCATTCCATCTTAGTACTCACAGGTGACAACGCATCTGCATTTTGATTCTTTATTGAAAATAGATGATGAATCTTTCTATTTGTGGCAGATGTGTTGTTGGCGAGTCTACCCTTTTAACTGCGATGTTACATACTTCTCGTTCTTCCCCGGTGTCGTATTGTGTCGTTTTCTCTTCCTGCGGCCATTCTGCTGGTGGACGTTGCAGAAACGGGGGCCCTCGGAACCACCGGTGCGACTCGTCGAATCTTTCTGGCGTGGATCGGGTCGCGTCGTCTGCCACGTTTTCTTTAGACGGTAGCCAACGCCATTCGTTCTTCTTGGTCGTATCTTCTATCTCCGCCAGGCGATGAGCGACGAAAGCTTTGTACGCGCGAGGCTCCGACCTTATCCATACCAGTGCTGTTCGAGAGTCGCACCAGTATGTCTTGCCCGCTATATCACCATCGTGCTCATCGACCACGGTCTGCGCGAGACGAGCTCCCAGCAGTGCTGCTTGTAATTCGAGCCGTGGTATGGAGACTGGTTTCAGTGGTGTTACGCGGCTCTTGGCGGCGGCCAATGATACGTTAACGCTGCCGTCTGCTCGCTCCGTTCTCCAATACACGGCTGCTGCGTAGGCCTCCTCGCTTGCGTCGACGAATGTGTGTAGTTGGCGCGTCGACACCGGGTTGTAATCGTAGCATCGCGGTATTCTCAGTTGTTCTATGGCGTTAAGTGAAGTAATCCAGTCTTCCCATTTTTCTTTTAATTCCGTGGGCAGAGGGTCGTCCCAGTCCGCCTTGTAACGCCATGTCTTGGAATATTCTCTTCGCTGGGGTGGTCACTGGTGATATTATTCCCAGCGGATCAAATAATGCCATTATGATGCTCAACGCTTCACGTTTAGTTGGCAAGCGTTGTTTTTCTTTTACGTCGGCAGGCATCTTCATATTGTGAGTATTAAATCCAATATGATCGCTTTGTACATGCCAGAGCAGGCCGAGCGTCTTCTCAGTTTCTTTTCCGCCCAGGCTCACGGTCGCGTCGTGTTGTTTATGTTCTGTCGTTATTTCTTCTATTGTTTTCTCTTCGTTCGATGTCGACCCGCTGAGTACGAACCCCGCTTGTTTGTGGACGTAATCGACTGCTTTTACCGTTTGCTGAGCTTCCGTGACAGAGTGGAAGCTCTGCAAGTAGTCGTCCATATAGTGATTTCTTTTTATGGTGACCGCAGCTTCTGGGTATGCTTCTGCATGTTCTTCAGCATTTTTATTTTTGATGTATAATGCTGTGCACGGTGATGATGTCGCTCCAAAGATGATTGATGTCATCCTATATTCTTCCGGTTGGTCCTCCCGCCGCTTGCCTCTCCATAAGAAACGTAAAACGTCTCTATCTTCTTTGCGCACTTTGATCTGCATGAACATTTCTTTTATGTCGGCGCTCACTGCATACGGATACTGTCGGAACCTCATGATTACTCCGGGCAATGATTGTAACAAGTCGGGCCCCGAGTGAAGCATATCGTTGAGACATATTCCGGCTGCATTCGCTGCGGCGTCGTGCACCAATCTCGGCGGCTTGTCTGGTTTCGCAGGGTTGATGACTGGGAAGTGTGGCAGATACCATGTCCTTCCTTGCGGCGGTGGCATGGGCGCGCGCTCTGCGTAACCCGAGTTGAAAAGGTTCTGTATGCGTTCTTCGTACTGTAGCTTGAGATTGCTGTCTCGGTCAAGCCTCTTCTCTAAGGTGTGCAGGCGCCTTTCCGCGTCCTTGTAATTATTTGGTATTTGGAAATCCTTTTGTTTTCACAACAACCCTGTTTCGAATCTGCCGTCCGCCGACCTCTGGCTGGTTTCCTTCAACATTTGCATAGCTCGCTGCTCGGGATCTTCTTTCGGTCTTCTTGGCTCGATGCATAGCGATTCCAATTTAAAATAATTTTTTATTTCCTCTTCTATCGGCTCTGTATCTTCCCTCTGATGTAGTCTGCCGCAGAAGGTGACCGTCGACGTCAATGAGCTATGACAACCATGCAGAACCCAGCCCAGGTTGGTGTGTGAGGCAACTGGTTGGTTTCGACGACCAACGCGCAGTTTTCTAGACACTATGAGGTGCCAGTTATCTTGTCCGATCAGTATTTTCGGTGAGGCGCGTTCGTAGGTGATATCTTCTTTGATATCCAACAGATGTTGGCAATTCTCCAAGTGATTTCCATTCACGGATTCTGGCGCGAAGTCCAACCGCTCTACCGTACGCGCTGCTTCTATGTTGTGTTCCTTTTGCGCGTACTTTCCTCTTATTTTAAGGCTGACGATCTTGCTCTTCTCATGTTTCACCTCCGAGCCGACCCCTCGTATCCACATTGCGTGGGCTGGGCCGTCGGCGCCGATGACGTCAGCGATTGAGGCATCGACTTAGGTGACCGTGCTTCCTTCATCCAATAATGCGTATGTTTCGACGCAGCTTAGCGGCCCCCTTATTGTTACGGGCGCAATCTTTAGATAAGCGCGGCGGTGTTTGTACGGTTGAGTCGCTGTGATGACCTCCCTTGCCGATGTTGCGGTTTCCATAGCGGGTTCCTTTTTAATTTCTGCTGTTTTATCGTGATGCAGCAATTTATGGTGTTTCATCATGCATCCGCCTTTTCCGCACGGTGGAGCTTTACACAGCAATCGGCGATGTTTACCTCGCAGACAGCGGTAGCATATATTATTCTTCTTTGCTACTTCCCATCTGTCATTAGTGGACAGAGCGGCGTATGACTTGCAATCGGGCAGTTTGTGTTCTTGTTTGCATTGAGGGCAGCGTTCTTCATATTGTTTCTTGCTTGTGGCGAAGGCACGTTCTATTTTTCTCGGTCTTCGCTCTCTCGTCTCGCTGTCCTCTGCTATTAACTCCGGCAAGGCATACGCGCTGCATTTGTCCGCTTCATCGTTTAAGAACGTTGATATCTTCTTAAGCTCTGGGATATCTTCTTTCTTTCTGGCTGCATAGTCGTACCATTTGCTTCTCAATATAGGCGTGAGTTTGTCTGTGATAACTCGCGTCATTTCCGGACTATGCAGATAGTGTGCTTTCTTGAGTGCTTCCACGGTGCCCACTACGTTTGCTATGCGATTTGCGATTATGCATAGCTGCCTGGGATTGTCCGTAACTTTGTTCAGCAGCTTCAGCTTCTCTATTTCCAAGTGGATTAACGCTTCTGGTCGTCCGAATCTCTTTTCCAAAGCTTCCATTATCAGGCTGGGATCTGGTTGGCTTATAAGTAGGCAACCGGCGGCTTCTTTTGCTGTCCCTTTTAAGCTTCGGCGTATTCTCGCTATGTTTTCGTTCATCGTGAAGTACTTTGAAGATTCTTCGTACGTTGTTTTGAAGCTGAGCCATTCTTTGCTGCTACCATTGAATGTGGGTAGCTCTTGCACATATTTCGGCGGCTCCCTTGTGCTTCGTACTGCTTGTGATAGAGCAGCGGCTAAGGTAGCGACGTCGATTTGTTGCTGCGCCTGCCCATTGTCTTCTTTCTGCGGCGCGGGTTGTTATGCAAACTGCGGAGCGGGTTGCGATGCGAAGTGCGGCGCGGGTTGCGATGTAGACTGCGGAATGGGTTGCGATGCGAAGTGCGACGTGGGTTGCGGCGCAGGCTGCGGCGCTGGTTGCGATGTAGGTTTTTCTTGCAACCATGTACTAATGCGTACTGATGCTAAATCGTCTTCTATTTCTTCATCTTCGTCATCGGTTGATCCGACTTCTGCTTGTAATCGCTGCACGTGTATTTCTTGCAATTCCGTTCTTGCTTGCAACTGAGCCTGCTCGAGCTTGAGTTCGGCTAACCGCTCTTTCGCCTCTAACTCCGCGAGGAGTCTCTTGCGTGAGGCTACGGAGCGGCGCGACCTAGTCCCGTCGGGCCTTAGTGTGCGCTGCGATCTTCGATCCCTCTCTTGCTGGGTTTCTTCCGTTGCGGCCGTGTTATCGGTCGCAGAGGTAGCGGTTGTATCGCTGACCGTTGTGGTTTCGCTCGTGGTGTTGGATGTACCAGTAGCGGTTGAATCGCCCCCAGAGGCCTCTTCTGTGGCCCCCTGGGTTATTTGTTCATCCTTGCGACGCTTCGGTGATTCTCCGTTGTTACTACGTGTAATCACCATTTTTCTTCACAATAATATTTTTTCGTACTTGCGGTTTGCTTCTTTCTTCCGGCAATACCAAGACCGATATTGTCTTTTTCTTCTAGTAATCCGGCTTCTCGAAGGACCATTAATGTTACGGATCGCCGTAACGCCGTTCGAAAAATGAGTGAAACACGTTGGTCTTGCATAAACTGGAGGCAAGCAGCGGTGAGGAGGAACTTTTTCTTTTCTTGCTGTTGTTTTCTTTTCTGTAGCTGGAGAGCGACTGCCGACCGTTCCGGCCAGCCCTTCTTATATACGATCTGGCCGTTGCTGGCCAGCGGACCCTTGCCTCACCCCCGCACCTTTCTTTATTAGTTAAATCTAATGTACAGACTTAAATATATTACATTCTTACAATTACTTATTAAACTTATACTTAAATAACAATTTTTCTATATAGTAAAGGTTAAAACGTTGTTATTCCGGCAATTTTGAGCTGAGGACTCTGCCCCCCGCCTCAGTACTATAAATATAAAACGTCGTGGCGCGGCGCGCGTAGCCTCATTCGCTCCGCGGCCGCGTCAAGGTAACATGCCCTGTTTATTATTTATCGTGCCTAAAGGCTTAATACATAAGGAATTAAATTACACTATACAAAAGAATATATTTTACATATAATAGTTATTCTACAATTTGGCATTAATTAATTTCTATATTCTAAATCTATGTTAACTCTTGCCAGTTGTTCGGTGCCTTTATTGCGAGAGTTATTACATATAATACTATTTATTTAACAATAAAAGCTTTATTTCTCAATATTATTGCTACGGCTTTTCCCGCGTTGCTGTGGGCAACCACCGCTAGTTGTGGAACCAAGAGTGCGCCCCGACGATCATAACATTCTCATGGCTCCGCCCAACGCCCCTAGGTTGTTCAACTAGCGATGGTTACCACAAGCAATCCGTAAGTCATTTCGTTCGAGGTATTGCTATGTTTGCGTCGTGCACATAAATGTAACGCTAAAAATCGTTTTAAAAAGAAATATTATTGCTATGTTATTTGAAAATTTAAATGAAAACCAAATGAATAAAAACCAAGTTATTTTTGAAAGTCATAATTACGCATTAACAGTAAATTTGGATGGCGATCGGGATTGCAAGCAGTGACTGTAGTACTAGTATTAACATTTTTTTCTAAGCGCCGTACACCGAAGTGCTTCTTTTACCATCCTCAAGGGCGATCTATTCAACATCTTAAGAATTAAAAACGAAAGGTAAGCAGATCTAAAAGAGTTTTTCTTTTCAGTTTATCTTTTTATAACTGTAGAGTAATAAACGGCTTAAGTAAAAAAAATACCGAGTTAGCAGTCCACTTGACGATAAGTGGCTAGTGGAAATTCATAGACGCCTGTAACCAATTTCAAGCTCCTTTCCTATCTACTCAGGCGGACTTTTAGGCAGGAAATTAGTCTTTACCAATTAGTAATGTTTTATTGTGTGTTGGCTTTTCATTTTTAACTTATTTACTTCTTGCAAAAACTGAATACTGTACAAATTTAAAAAATCAGTCTTGTATTTTAATAATAATCACAGAAAATTAACAAAAATGGTCTATCGCCATGTTAAATATATCATATCAAGATTGTATAAAAAGTAATAATATTATATAATTCATGTATTATAAAGTAATACACGAATTATATAAGTCCCTGAGAACTAGATGAAATTGCGTTTCGATAAACCAAGATGTTTTTAAAATGATTAATTGTATATACGATATCATTGTTGTGGACGAGTTATATACTCTCAAATGAACATAATATTAATAGAATATAAAATAAGGGCCGTATAATGGCGGCGAGAGAATCCACTACCCCATATCATGCCGTGGGTGCCGTTAGAGGCGACAGAGGAAAATGAAGCAGAGCATGGACACCAGCATCTTACTGACAACAACTCAAAATAATAAAACAGCTGTGGTAGCCAACCGGCCCGCCAAGTGTGGCAATTAAGCAAATATAATGTGCTGTGAGACAATATTTGGGACAGGCCTATGTTCTGCAGTGGTTTTTCAATAGGCTGTGATAAATAAAAGAA